CTGGTAGTCGGTGACCACTCGGAGTATTACAGTGCTGGTAGTCGGTGACCATTCGGACTATTACAGTGCTGGTAGTCGGTGACCACTCGGAGTATTACAGTGCTGGTAGTCGGTGACCATTCGGACTATTACAGTGCTGGTAGTCGGTGACCACTCGGACTATTACAGTGCTGGTAGTTGGTTAGTAGTTGGAGTGTAATACTGCTCTGATAATTTGTATAATACTATAATTTACCAGTCGCTACAGATCAATTCGGTCTAGTATTCTTAAATCCTTGTAGCATCCACAGGTACCCAAGGGTTCTGTCGCTCGTTCATTGCGCGCGCATCAAGGCCGGTAACCCTTGAGTTCTTGAGGATACGTCGTAGTGGGCGGAAAAAGTTAAACTTTTGGGATAATATACCATGAATGGTAGTTTTCTGTTTCAGTATTTCAGAAACCAATGCAATTGTAACTTTGAGCCTTCTATTGGTCAAGAGTTGAGATGAAATAGATTATTAACCAGACCATTATAAGGGAATCGCCGATAGAGTGAAGTCTTCTCTACTGTTTTCATAGCAGGACACTTTTGAGCCCAATGCCATTCGATTCTCTTGACTGAACATCGAAACCATTCTCGTACCCAGCTCCTTATCCGTTTCCTTTAGAGGTTCTGGTTGGAGACAAATGAGTCTTTATTTTTATTGATTCGAAAATTGCTCTGCGCCATCAGTATGAATATATTGAAAGGCTTATATTGTTTGTCTTCTGGTATCGTCTCCAACCAGAGGCTTCGATTTTCAGTTAGGAAACTGAGAAGGGCCTGGGTACGAGAACGAAACCTGTGCTAGTTAAGAAAATCGACGGCGAATGATTGAAAATAGCATCGATCTTTGAAAGTGTGGTATAGGTACTACATATATTTGAATATATAATTAATAATTAATAGCGACATAAGAGCATTCTATGTGTACATGAGAACCATACATATGGACATCCATATATGAAAGTCATGCGAAAGACTCTACTCAATAGTTCTTAGGGAGAAACAATTGGATTTAATCCTATAATGTACATATTATTTGGAAATAAAAAAATGTAAAGAAGTGAAATCAATTAAAATTATCTTGAATGGAAGGTGGAGTCTATGTTACCTCATTAATTATACATATACTTTTGAATGTTTCCTGTAATGAAGTAGTACACCCAATCTTGGAAATGTTGCCCATCTACATTCGCCATTTTATCCGACAACCGTTTTTGGAAATAGGTATACATCCCGGGGGGGGGGGTACTCCCCTATATTCGCTATACGGGGACGTGCCGCCAGCTAGGGTATCGTTTTCAGCGATTTTACTCTGGAACTGGGTATCGATTTTAGCGATTTTACTCTGGAACAGGGTATCGATTTCAACGAATTTTCTCTGGAACAGGGTCAGGGTTGAATTCCGGAATTATTGATGCTGGATAAAAATTCATGGGGTAAAAATTCGGTCTACACGCAAGCTAGTGCAGGATTTTACTCTGGAACAGGGTATCGTTTTCAGCGATTTTACTCTGGAACAGGGTATAGTTATCAGCGATTTCACTCTGGAACAGGGTCAGGGTTTTGAGGTCCCAGCGGCACACCCCCACTTTTGTCGATTACTTCTTTTTTCTCGTACACTGTCCAGGCTTCGAGCCACTGGTCGAATGATTCGATTGTTGGTTTTCGTTTGTTATCCTTCGCACTGCTACTACTTGAACTATCGTCGGTTGACTGAGGGCTAGTTAGGAGCGTAAGTAGGTCTACGTAGGGTAAGAGATAAAGGTTGTTACCTTGGTTTGCCGGTTTTGTTGCGGGTCCGCCCCCAACGCTAGATGACTCGACCTTCTCCCGAAGACTTTTCTGGTCTAGTTGAAGGGTTTCAATTTGACCCGCTAGAGACTGTAGTGCTAGGAGGATTTGCCCGTTATTATCCTCCGTTGTTTTTGGTCCTCTCTTTAAGGCTTCTGGATGATGCACGGGCTCTTCGTCGTCTGTTGAGTCTTGCGATGTTGGTCCTGTACANCTGTGTAAACACTGGAGCAATTTTTACAGGAAAATTCACCGGCTCGAGACATTTTGTTTGTTTACCGTGAGTGAAGATGGTATTCTCAAGTTTTCCCTTCGCTTTCGTTTCACGTTACCATTTTGAATACAAAAAAGTCAGTGACCTCGATACAGTCAAGACAAAAACACAGATAATATGAATAGATTTTTATTTTCAACACTTACAAATGTTTTATATTTTCGCCGGCTCGCGACGCGTCCGTCCACTGCTCACGCAAATATTTATGCATTTAATTAAATTTGGTAGACCGCTGGTCAGTCCTGTGGGCCCAAGGACAACTCAGTTTTGCAAATACGTCATCATGACGTCACATTTCAGATCAGCTGGAATGGAAGCCTTTGATAAAAATGTAGTGGGCGCTCTCGCGGAAACGGGGCTGACACGAGTTTTTCTTCACTGCCTCAAATCCATATCCGGTCCTTTTTCGACTTTTTTTGCCATGTTATTCAGTATTCCTGGACATTAGCTCCAAGAAATTCATCAAGACTTGGTTAGATCGTGTCTTATTTAGGCGCATGCGCGTTCGTTCGTTTAAATGGAGCACTGCAACAATCAAGCGAAGCATTTTTCATTTTTTTCATTGACATTTTTTAATATATTTTTGTTGTTTCTGAGGTGTTATTGTTTAGTTCAAGGGTTTTAAAAATATCCGTTAAATTTTAGATTCGTTATTTCTTAATCGGCTTCCATGACGGGCACTATAACAAGTCCAGGCACCGCGGAGCATATTAATTTTTATTAGGGGGCTAAATCGGGACGGGACAACTTTCGGAAAGCGCTAGATGAAAAAGACGAGTGTTTCGAAATGACGGCACCAAATTTTTAGGAGGGCTAAGCATAGCCCTGATCCAGAGATTGGTTCGATAATTTGCTCTTCTAACGACTCGTTTGTGAGGGCTCCTTTATGAGATATTCTACTTGATTGACAGCAACTTTGCTGTATTATATCCATACACTTTGCATGATCCGTTGTTAAGAGTAACAAGAAATTTTATTCCATTTATTCGTAGTTCATTTTTCAAAAACCAAAATATATTTCTCACAAGTCCTTCAAATAAGCTTTTCTTCCAGTTCAATTTGAGCGACCGCTGTTTTAACAACAGACTCACATCCGCAGAGAACAAAAGAAAGCACGAAAAAATTGCAATAGTTCTACAAATTTGTATTTTCTCTGATTTAAAGCAAAGCTTGCATGTATTCCCATAAGACTTAAATCTAGGTCTTGTGGGAAAACAGGCTTAGTCCACCAACATTCAATGCGGCTGTGTTTTAAATTTTTCATATTTAGTAAATGAGTCGTTTTAAAAAAGCCATTCTCTGTCAATGCATTTCTATTAGTGGGTTATAAAACGTAATTTATCACGATGTATTTTAATATTTTCCAACATGAGCAAAATCTCTAATGGGACGGCAGTGTCTCAAAGCCCTTGTAGTAAACGTTGGATATTATTATACAGTTAATAGGGACCAGAACGTTTTGTGGATCAATCAGGAGTTATTAGTTTAGGAGACGAGGGACTGTCGTTTTGCTTTCGGCTCAAGCAGCTTTTCGGTATACTTAAGGCTGATTTACACGGTACGATTTTGTCGCGCGCGACGTGTAGTATACGATTTTCCTACTACTATACAAGTCGTAGGATTTTAAACAGTGGTTTAAAATCCTACTACAAGTCGTAGGTTGCGTACGACTGTTGTAGACAAGTCGTAGGGGCATTTACACTGCGCGATTCAAGTCGTATACTACAAATCGCACTAGACAATCGTGCCGTGTAAATCAGCCTTTAGCGGCCCCAAAGAGAGGTCCAAGGAGAGAACGGAGAGGAGAAGAAGGAAGGGCCTGCAAGCGACCCCAAAGTTTTACAAAATTTACAGTGGAATGCGGACGTAAATCCCCAATTGGTCGAGAGGAACAAGCTCTCAGTCAAATGTCAAAGTGATAGATACCAGATCAAGTTGGCGTATTTACCATCATGGTAGGCGATGAAGAAGGATTTCGTAATTCAGTTAGAGCTTGCTTTTTAAGTCAAATTAAAATTGGGAACTGAAGTTGCTCTAGAAATTTGAAAATTTTCGAATTTGAKCCAATCTAAGATTACGTCTACGTAGGCAGCTCTACTACTTCCTTTGTTTGAAACACCAGTAGCGCGGAAAAAAGAGGAATAAGGAATACCTACTGATAAAGAGATTCGTATTTCATAATTTCCGCTACGCGTCGTGGTTTCCTACGCTTCTCTCGTGCTCTCCCTACATCCCGCGTGTTTTGATCAGAGTATCAAACACGGAATTTTTTCTGTTATTCCTTAAATACAGTTATATTCGTCCGAACAAAAGCAGCTACGAAAAAATATTCTACTTTTATTCATAAAGACCCACGGTCGAGAACTCATTACGGCTGTGTTTAAATTTTTAATATATAGAAAATGCTTTCTATTCTTTCTATTCTATTCTAAATATAGAAAATGAGTCGATCTCAAAAAGCCATTCTCAATCCGTTTCCATTAGTGGGTTATGAAGAGTAAGTTGTCACAATATTTCAGCAATAAACAACACATTTTCGTACGTTCCTGGTAAACGTTTGATACTATTTTACAGTTAATAATAGGGACCAGAACGTTTTGTGGGCCAATCAGGACTCATCACTGATGTTTTAGGAGCTGAGGGACTGTCGGCGTTTTTCAAAGTAGTATAGCGTAGCATTGTAGAGTTGTCATGGTTTCCGACGTCAAAATTGTTGTTATTTTTGGGTATCAAGGAACAAATTTTCGCATTCCAGGATTGATAATTAGTAGAGCAGAATTGTATGAGTTGACAACAACTATATACGGCGACGATGATGAAATGAGTATATTCAAATTTTGTTGTACATCAGTATTTATCTACATTGCTTGGCTATTCTTGGCGGAAATTCAGCTATTCCGAGAATGCGGTACTTGAAATGTGAAGGAAAAATCAGTGGGGTGAGTCGTGTTTGCTCTTTCATATACCCCGGCGGACACTCCACACGAACTGAGTTCTTCTTCTGAGCAGTTCCACCAGAGAAATTGAAGTTTCTTCCATGTAAGTCATTGATTTCCTAGTGTATGCGATGTGTAATTGATTTTCGTTTCGTCTCCTCCGTAGTCTCGTTAGAAATCCGAGGGTCGTGGGTCCGTTCCCATGAAATTAATTTTTTCGAATTTATTTCCAAGGGTCTTTGTCCCTGAATAACCTCCTTCTAAGCACTATAACCGTTCTTTATTTCTATGTAAGGTCCAAAGAAGTCCCATCTCTTGACATTTTTCACTATGTTTCAACAGAAATTTACTCTTTTCAATCGACCTACATGCCAGCTTGATGTGGTTTAATGTTTTAAGTAGAACGTTTAGTTTATTAGCATTTAGCAAGTAAAATGTTGTGCGGAAAATTAAGAGAAATACTCACATATGCACATTTTAATGAAAGTACATTAGTATCTTGCTACAACGCACAGCGCTTGGCTCTTGGTTCAGATTCAGCTATTCCGAGAATGCGGTAAAATGTGGTAGTGTAGCGTATAGTTAGTTTTGCGACAGTCTAGTTTTCCTTCTCTACGAAACATTTATCGTAGAGATTTCAAGTTCTAAGTTGGTGTTTTGTATAACTTTATTCTACTAATAGTTATTTTTTATTTGTATTTTTCTACTAATAGTTAGTGAAACTTGTTTTTTTTTTGAATTTTTGATTCTTACACGGGACAAATTATATCGCTCGTGAAATGTCCTTTACATTCCATTTTTTCAAGTCGTTCGTTGTATTAATTATGTGTGTGCAAACGTGCTATGATTGGTGCTGTCCAAGCGAAATAATCATCCTATCAATATTCATATTTTGAGTCATTGTTGATTTCATCATACTTTGGTTTTGAAGCGTTGCCGAATCCACCGTAGTGTGGAATTGGCTGAATTTGCATATATCTGCTCCGCTCACTTTTGTCGCTAAATTTCTGAAATTCCACCGTGCTTTCAATGAAGAAATTAAGTGCTAAAGCTTTTAAAAAGCTTTCTTTGCATTACGTCAAATTACAATTGGGAACTGAAGTTGCTCTAGAAATTTGAAAATTTTCGAATAAGATTACGTCTACGTAGGCAGCTCTACTACTTCCTTAAGTGTTTGAAACACAAGTAGTGCGGAAAAAGAGGAATAAGGAATACCTACTAATAAAGAGATTCGTATTTCATTATTTCTTATATCGTTATATTCACTCGAACAAAAACAGCTACGAAAAAGTATGCTTCTACTTTTATTCATAAAGACCCACGGTCGAGAACTCATTACGGCTGTGTTTAAATTTTTAATATATAGAAAATGCTTTCTATTCTATTCTAAATATAGAAAATGAGTCGATCTCAAAAAGCCATTCTCAATCCGTTTCCATATTAGTGGGTTATGAAGAGTAAGTTGTCACAATATTTCAGAAATAAACAACACATTTTCGTGCGTTCCTGGTAAACGTTTGATACTATTTTACAGTTAGTAATAGGGACCAGAACGTTTTGTGGGCCAATCAGGACTCATCACTGATATTTTAGGAGCTGAGGGACTGTCGGCGTTTTTCTGTAGTATAGCGTAGCATTGTAGAGTTGTCATGGTTTCCGACGTCAAAATTGTTGTTATTTTTGGGTATCAAGGAACAAATTTTCGCATTCCAGGATTAATAATTAGTAGAGCAGATTTGTATGAGTTGACAAAAACTATATACGGCGACGATGATGAAATGAGTATATTCAAATTTTGTTGTACATTAGTATTTTTGTCTACATTGCTTGGCTATTCTTGGCAGAAATTCAGCTATTCCGAGAATGCGGTACTTGAAATGTGAATGAAAAAAATCAGTGGGGTGAGTCGTGTTTGCTCTTTGATATACCCGGCCACTCCACACGAACTGAATTCTTCTTTTGAGCTATATAGATGCTGTAGTCATTCTCTTCTATATTGCTCCGCTATTAGATGTTACCTAATTATTTTCATATTAAAACTTTAGCTTGAAACTCCGACACCCCTTCTTGTTTCGAAACCCAAACTCGTGGTAATTTCTACCCAGAAATAAAATGCATGCGATTTGTAATATCCAATGACCAGAAAGCTTGCTCCGTTGAACATCAAAAATGTTTCTGGTTATCGAGAAAGAACTACAAATATGGGGACCTTATTTGCCTCTCTGGGGGCAATAAAGAGATCAGTATTTCATTATTTTAAACGGGGCTTAAGATATTGTTATTTTTGCAGGCCCTACTGGAGGTTCCATTCCAAACGAAAGCAGCTACATATACGAAAAGGTACATAATTTTGATCCTGGCACTTTTCATTGTTATTCATGAGGAAAATTGGGTCTCCTTTGCCTTCTACACTTCCCTAATACAGTGCTCAATGCAAATATAGTAGACTAGATACCCCTTAAAAGAGATGCTACTGAAAACAAGTGTCCTACACGATCTGGCACTAGCATGTCTTGCATGTGGGACATTGTTTACCTAACTGCGCATTCCTGTGCACTTAGTTAAAAAAAAGGAAAATGCCTATGACAGATTTATGCGCAGTCGCATAAAAAAGTTATATAAAATAAAACACGTTTTTAAAATCATTGGTAGCACCACATTGCACTTACACTTTTGTTAACTCGAATTGAAGCATTGAAAGAAATAGCGTTTAATGTAGCAAACTGATATAACCGCTGCGCCCTCGGGACTTCCACAAATTTTCCCTCGGTTTCGGGGAAATTTAATCACTACATTCCCTCGTTGATCCATGACATTACTTATAATAATACTAAAGTCTGATAGCCTAGTAGTAAAAAGAACGGAGTGTCTAAACGTCAGGCAGCCTAATTTTTTCTTATAAAATCAGGCAGTCTAATTTTTTCTTATAAAATCGTCGGAACAACCGTAATTTCAATTAATACAACAAGGGAAATGCAATAAAGACCCGAAATAATACTGTTCGACAAGTTTCAAACACAAGCACGGCATTTTGAGATTTTCGACTGCCTGACGTTTAGTCCCAGAACTAAACGTCAGGCAGTCGATTTTTGTGTGTGAAAAGTCTTAATAGCACAAGAGAAATGGAATAAAGACCGAAATAAAGGTCTTGTCAGAAATTAGCAGTGAGAAGAGGAGGTGGAAATTGAAAACTGGGTACTGAGAATAAGGTGATGACATACCAGAGTTGTGGATGAAGTGAAATTTACTAACCCTCTCTGTATCAGACCATCCCCCTTCAACCATTACCACAACAATTTATCATTGCCCCCAAG